GAGCAAGTCAGAGTCTTTCGGAGAAAAAAAGAGTCATGGGCCGGTTCTCCAGCCCCTGGACATGAGAGAAGACCGGCTGCTGTTTTGACAGGAGTGAGGCCTGGCCGGTGACACCTCGCGGAGGGGCCTGGTGGGGCACGAACGGAGAGTGTCTCTGCCCTCCTGGACGCCCTGTCGTGGCAATGATGGGGATTTTTCCGGCCGTGTTATACCTCCTGGCCACTACCCACCCCTGTGTTTCCCAGGGGCCTCAGGGCCAGGATCAGGAGGGACGGGGAAAGCATCTTGAAGAACCGGAGGTTCTTAGACAAGAAACCAAAGGCTTGGAAGAGGGCTGGTAGTCCATTGCCTCTTGCTGCTGCTGGTTAGGATTTGGGAACAGAGAGAAAGATCTGGAAGGTGAACAATTCTTTATGCAGATGGTGTTTATGAACAAGATTTGGATGTCTGAACCATGCATTAAGATAATTAAAGGAGGGTTTCTTGGCTCAAGGTGGAATGCACATAATGAGAATCAGGCAGCATGATTTGCCCAGAGGCTAGCCAACTGCATCAGGAAGACTTAAACTGAAGTAGGAGGGAGGGAAAATACTTGGTGAACTTGGAAGGCTGATTGTTTGGGAGGGGAGCAGGTATTAAGATGAAAGGGGAAATGAGGACATGGAAGAAAAAATTTAGGGCCAAAAGCAATACTTGTTGTCTGATCCCCTTCCTAAACAAGATAAAACAGACTTTATACTATAACCCGAGTTGTGGTGAATGATGCCTCACAGGGATCATCAGGAGCCCACAGGATGGAACTTGAGGCTGGAATACAGCAATAGCAGGTTACATTGCTTGTGGAAGAGAGAAACACGGTCAGAAGGCAGAATCATGGTAGGTATGTATCTGCCAGGGTTAAAGTTGCTAAGAGTTGCTGAGGAGCCGGGAGGTTAAAAGGAGAAGAACCAAGCTTTATTATGGGAGTGAACATGGCAAAATAGAGAAACTGAAAAATAGAGTGAACATTTTATAGAGTGCTGATTATGTGCCAGATACCACAAGCGTTGTCTGTACTACTTGTTTCACCCTCGAGACCGCCCTTTAGGTAGATGCATGCCATTATTCACCCCATTTTACAGATGCGAAACCTCAAGGACAAAGAGGTGAAATACCTTGCTCAGGGTTCCGCAGCCAGTCATAGGCGAGTCAGGTCCCAGACCCCATTTGAAACTATAGTTTGCAGTTAACGCCTTCGCTGCTTAGCCCCACCAATGATGTCTGAAGGATGCGGGATGCTTTCTGGGTGCTTGATGCAAAACTGACCCAAGACGTTTGCTGAAAGCTTATTCAGCTCAGGACTTTCGGCAAATTCTTGGCATGCTTTGCTAACGGGAAGAAGCTAGGAAAATTAACACCCTAAATCTGTATGTGGATAAGGCGAAACTCCGTAGAAGTGGGAGTGGCAGAGCTCACCATGGGGAGGGCAAGTCTGGCATACACAGCCAGCTACCCCGGAGTTTAGCGAAGTCGTTTTTGGAGGGTTCATTTAAAAAGGTAGGCATAATTCTGTGGCGCATGTTGCCAAACAAGGAATATCGACTACCTCGGAGGTCTCAAAGTGCAATCTGATTGTATAATAACAAATGATATCAAGGAGTATAGATCCAGAAAATCATTGTTAAATTTTCAAGAAGAGAGCAGCAACATATTTGTTACTGTGTTTTTTTTTTTTAAGATTTTATTTATTTATTTGACAGAGAGAGACACAGCGAGAGAGGGAACACAAGCAGGGGGAGTGGGAGAGGGAGAAGCAGGCTTCCCGCGGAGCAGGGAGCCCGATGTGGGGCTCGTTCCCAGGACCCTGGGATCATGACCTGAGCCGAAGGCAGACGCTTATGACTGAGCCACCCGGGTGCCGTGGTTTTGTTTTTTTTAAAGGACATGATGGTTTTAATCAACAGGCAGTTTATCAATACACATCAGTAATTGGATGTGATCTCCAGAAAGCTGGTTTCAGTGTTAGGCTACCTTTGCATGATGGAGGCGGTGTTCCCATCCTTCCCCGTCATGGTCAGACCACATGTCAGTCACTGTGTTCCATACTGGGAGCATCATCCGAAAGGGAATAAGATGATCTAAAAGTTTAGGTTTTTATATACCTGTAAATACATATTATTTGGTTCATTCTTTTCAAACAAAAGCAATGGACAGACTTGTGTTTTGGGAATAATGTAGAGAAAGGCGATCTATTTATAAAGACACCTTTAATTTTTGAAAATGCAAAGGTTTTCTCAAGCATTTTATGGCAATTTATGAAAAAGAAACAAGGGAGAATGCAGACACAAAATACCGTAAATTTGATCCCACTAAGGGTAGTATGTTGCTACAAACCATTGGAGGTGGTGATGTTACTTTTGAGAGCCAATCGTAGACACTGGCAAATACGGTTTGCTCTGGAAGTGGTTGTATTCTGTAACATTTTTTTTTCCTTGCCTCTGTTGGACAAATCATGCAGATGTCCCTCAAGTGGCTGGTTTGAGTTACGTGGCCTCCCCGTGGACCAGTCCCCATGGCCCCAGAGATTCTGACCCAGCTGGGTCACTGCCTACCTACTTGACACTATGTTTGTGAGTGAGGGAGGCACGCTGGAGGGCTGGAGTTAGGCATAGTGGGAGACCTGCACGGACAGTTTTCAGCTTGATATAAGAAAGTATTTTCTGTCAGAGCTGCCTAAAGCCCGTTTAGGAGATTCCTGAGGTGCTAGCTAGATTCCCACCCCTGGACATGTTCACAGAGGCAGGGCAAGAAGTGATCAGGGATGCTGTTGAATGGTTCAGATACTACCTGCATGGTGTGGCTAATAATTTTTTTTTTTTAATTTGTCAGAAAGAGAAGGAGCGAGAAAGAGCACAAGCAGGGGGAGCGGCAGGCAGAGGGAGAGGGAGAAGCATGCTCCCCGCCGAGCAGGGAGCCCAATGCAGAACTCGATTCCAGGACCCTGGGATCATAACCTGAGCTGAAGGCAGATGCTTAACTGATTGAGCCACCCAGGCGTCCTGCTAATTATCTCTTAATATCCCCTTTCAGCCTATGTGTGAGCCTACAAAATACTCCTGTGTCATTTCCTTTATGTTAATGACAATAACTGCCCGTTTGTGTAGTGCTTTGTGTTATGCAATAAAAATATTAACAATAGAAAATGAATATAGTAGTATACAATTTCTTTGAGCTTTGTAATTCAGTGTTACTTTCCTGTTCTTGCTCTCAGGTTTGTTTTGAACTTTAGTATGTTTATGTTTGAAATTTACGTGGGCATCCTGCGGTTCATCCTTAAGATGTAAAATCCTTGGCCTCACTTCTGATATTTCTCTAACCATCTCACACCCGCCTCCTTGTCCTTTTGGTGTCTGGTGTGCTGCAGACCACAAAACATATGCTCAGCGAAGCCCATATGAATAAATACACACGTTTCTCTAATGTGCACAGCTGCCCTCCTTGTAAGCCATAAATATTGTCCAATATTCTGCTGCCCTTTGGGGAGCTATTTGTGAGAGTTTGAGCCCATTATTCGGCTTTTGTAGTTGAGTTGTTAACTAGATAAATGTGATCATGATTAAAATAATTGTTTGATATTTCAGGAAGCTATGAAGCAACTAACCCAGCTCCTCCCAGAGGATCTCAGAAAGGAACTTTACGAACTTTGGGAAGTAAGTATATATGATACGTTGCTTTTTAATGTATTGTGATGGAATTTATATGGCTCCTCAGTGCTTTAGTTGACTTAGACGATCATGACACGCTGTCTCTAACGTACTACTTTCTGGTTTGTGTCTGTTTTTTGCCGCCTGGCTGCTGCAGGAATTTCTCGTGGCTAATAGAAACTTTTCTCCCCTCCAGTTTCCCCATTTCCCTTGACGCCATAATGCCTGGTACAGATCTCGACTCAGAGCCCCTGGATTTCCTGTTGCCTTGCTCTCATCCCCCCCCCCCCCCGCCAACCCCACACCTGCCCACCCGTTTCTGGTCCTTGGAAAGAACGCTGGCCCTCACCGCTGCGTAGCTCTGACCTTGGGCAGTCTCCTCTCTGAGTCTGTCGCCTATCTGTGAAACCTTGAAGGGCGGTTTAGGGCTGAGTCAGATCCAAGTGAGGTGCTGCCATGATGCCCAGGGCAGAGCGGGACCCTGTGGGTGCTCACTCCCTCCAGTGCTTGACGGCACTGGGGGAGGCCGGTTGGCTGGACAGAAAGGGCAGGAAGAGTGGAAAGAGCAAAGAAAGCCCATTGCTCCCCTCTTCCTAATGCTGGTTTTCATTTGTGAAGGGAAGACAAGAGCAAACAGACCCTTGTCGACTGCAGTTTCTCACTTCCCTCCAGTCTACACTGGCCCTTCCTTGCTTGAGTCCTTAGCCCCTCTCCTTACCCTTGGACATCACTACCTCATACTCTCACTTCTCCCAGGTCCTTTAAAGCCCTGCTCCCCACTCCTGCCTGCAGACGCTGATCTTCCACCTTTCCCTTCATATCTTCAGGCCTCTGCCCTGCCTGGCGCGCCCCTGAGCCTCAGAGCCGGCAGAGTTCCCTTGCTACTGCCTCGCGTGCTGGATCAGCTCTTTCCTTGACTTGGGAAGATGGGGGGCAAGTTGGGAAGTGTCGGTGTGAACGCTTGTTAGATGTTTCTCCTAAGAATGCCATTTTACTCCGTGGTTAGAGTCTGTGGCATGCTGTCATTGCTGTGGTTTAGCTGGTTTAGGGGATGACATAAGCATCCTTCCCTTGTGCGGCTGTAGGCTGTGACGCAGAGGGCAGGGCTTGCCGCTGGAGAGACCTGGATTTGGATCCCACCTCCCTCAGTTGAGTGACTTGGCTCTCATTGGCCTATTTCTCCTAGAACGTGAGAATACAGCTCCACATGCCCTTAACCCCAATGAGGAAATCTACAGAATTCAGGCAGCCAGTTAAAAAAAACAAACAAACCTGATCTAACTTGACCTCACACAGTAAAATCTTACCTGAATTAACATGAGGCTGTTTATATAGAGTCCCCATGCCCCGATCTTGGTGTGAAAATCAGTACGCTTTGATGTAGAAATATTCATCTGTTTGGCAACTGAGCCTGCCCTAGACCCCAGTAGGGGGTTTTCTGTAATTGGTACTATCCATACCATATTATTTTCTAAATTAAAAATACACTGAAAACTGAAACAGGTTTTAAGGTAAAAGACTGTGGCCTGTTAATGCCTGCCTTGCCAAATAATTGTGAAAATTAAATCTGGCAAAATATGCATGGTGTCTAGCTGGAGGCTGGCTCAGGTGGCGTCTCTTACTGGGTATAACAGGATTGCTTTAGGGAAAAGAGTCCCTTGTGCCAAAGTATGTACTTGAAAGTGAACTTCTGGAACACTATGAATTGAGGAATAACGGAATGGAGTTGGGTTGCATTTCATACACAGAAAGAAAAAAAAAATGGCCCCGAGCTTATGAAACTAATCCCATGTCTCTAAGAAGTGAAGACTCCCAGAATTTGAAAACCTTTTATAAGAATTGGTACCCTTGTGTTTCCTAATTATCGTAAACACAGTGGCAGTATCTGTTAAATTATTTTCTCAGTTAGCCATCAGCAACTGGCTAAAAAAAGCTGATGTAACTTGACCTCACACAGTAAAATCTTACCAAAATTTACTTTAATGACAAAAATTAATTTACTTTAAATTTACTGCAAAATCTCCTTTAATTTAATTAAGTAGCTTCCAAAAAGACTTTGGATTTGGAAAAAATATAAAATACAGAGCATTAAGTGACTTGATAACCCCCAAAACGAGTGACAGTTTTATGATCTGGTTAAAGTCATTGGTTGAATTAAGCTTGTTAAAGAAGATCTCCGACCAGGTACACAGTTGGCCGCTTGGAATGTGACAGTCCTCCTTGAGAATTGTTGCTGCCGGGCCAGCCAAGAGCTTAGAAGAAGATAGCAAGGAATTAAATTACTTTGTTGGTGAGACTGTGGGATGTTGATTGATGCGGAGGAGAGAAATTGAGAGCTTTTTTGCTTTCTGACATGAACGTCATCTTTGCATGCTCTAGGAGGGTTGGGAGCTCGTTTTTCTACTAAGAGCCAGAGGGGACAAAATGAGGACCATATAAATAAGCAGCAACACATTTTTCAGACAGAATTATGGAAATTTATTCAACAGAGAATAGTATTCATGGCTCTTAAACTCTCCTTAACCAATTTGTACACCCCTATGAATGAAGTAGCTGCCTCAGGTCAAGAGGGTAAGGTCCCACCAGGGCCCGGAGGTACAGGCTGAGCATACATAGAAGTCCCAGTGTTTACTCTCCACGGAAGAGTGTGCATGTGTACGTGGGTGCCGATGCAGGTGGGCACATGTATATTTAAGTTTATTTAGAAATCATGAAAACAGAGCAGGAAAATGGACATCTCTAATATCTAATGTTATTTTGTAAAGAGAGTGTTAAACATTAGAATTATCCCTAATTTCTTTGACCATTTCTCCCCATCCTGTGCCTGTTAAAGCCTAAATTTCAGGAACCTGGAGTATCACTTTCCACAGTACATGTTTCTCACAGCCCACAGAATCATCTGACAAAAAAGCCTAGCTCTGGGCGTGGTACCTCAGAAGAAGATATTCCTCTCCTCTCTTCTCTCCATCATATGGATGAATTGTGTACTCCTAAAATTCACGTGTACCTCCGAATAAGACCTTATTAGAAGATAGGATTTTTTTTTCTTCTCCATTCAATAGTTTATTCTCAATACCTAGTAAAATATACAATGTGGGCAATAAATACTTGTTGAATGAATTGACAGGGCTTTTTACTGATACTGTGAAGGAGGTTTTTTTTTTAATAATTATATTTCAAATTTTTATTGTGCATCCTGAAATATAACTATATCATTTCAAGTGTTCTCCAAAGAGGAAATGATAACTGGAGATTTTTTTTTTTTTTTTTGAGATAGGATCTAAAAAATTTTTTGGAGATAAAATTTTTACAGAGGCAATCAAGTTAAAACGGGGTCATTAGTGTGGGTCCTAATCCAGCATGACTGGTGTCCTTGTAAAAAGGGGAACTTGGACACAGAGACATATATTGGGGGAGCATCATGTGAACATGAGGGAGTCCTTCTGTAAGCCAAGGAGAAGGGCCTGGAGCAGATTCTTCCTCACAGCCCTTGGAAGGAACCAGTCCTGCCAACACCTTGATTTCCAACTTTAGCCTCCAGAGTTAATGAGACAATAAATTTCTGTGGCTTAAGCCCCAGTATGTGGTTCTTTTTATAGCAGCCCCAGAAAACTAATTCATTCTCTCTATCTCTCTCTTTTTCCTGTCTCTCTAATATCTTTGGTACCCTGTAGTGGCTACTTTTAATATGCTTACCTATTTTTTAATTATCTCTGTATTCTCTCTTTGATTCTTTACTGTGTCTGTTAGAATTTTGTAAACTTAAAACTGGAAGAAAACCCATGTCCAAGGGTCTCTTAGGTAGCAGGTGACAAAGCCTGCCTCCTCATTCAACATTCTCTTTATATCATGATGCAGTGTGGTGGTTAATTGAACAAGCACTTATAGTTTTATCATATTTAGGACACCATACTAGTTACTTATTTGTAGTAAGAGACTCTCTTAGTGACCTAGGACTGCTGTAACAATTACCAGAAATTTGGATGGCTTTAAACAACAGAAATTTATTGTCTCACAGTTCTGGAGACTAGAAGTCCAAAATCAAGGTGTTGGCAGGGCCATCCTCTGAAGGCTCCAGGGAAGGATCCTTTCTTGCCTCTGCCTGGCTTCTCATAGATGCCTCTTCTATTTTTATTTCTATTTATTTATTTATGTATTTATTTTTAAGAGAGAGAGAGCGTTTGTGAGTGGGATGGGGAGGGGCAGAGGGAGAGAGAATCTTAAATAGGCTCCACGCTCAATGAGGAGCCCGACTCGGGACTTGATCTCACGACCCATGAGATATGACCTCAGCTGAAATCAAGAGTTGGACGCTTAACCCATTTAGCCACCCGGGGAACTCCTCTGATAGACGCCTCTTCTGGCTTCGGCATTCCTTTCCTTAAAGACACACTGCCCCAGTCTGGGCCTCCGTAGTCAGTGGTGCTCTCCCTGCGTCTGTATCTGAGCCCAAATTTCCCTCTTCTTATAAGGACCCTAGTCATTGGATTAGGGTGCATCCTAATCCAGTATGACTTTATCTTAATCTGATTACATCTGCAGAGATCTTACAAGATCACATTCATAGATTCCAGGGAGACATGAATTTGTGGAGAACACTATTCAACCCAGTATATAGACTCATATTAACTTAAGCATTTTTATAATCCATGTCCAGCATTAGTACTTGGACTTCAGTGTCCAATTTCCAGGGTTCACATACTCTGTTTACTACCAGTGTGATCTTGGGCAACTTACTGAACGTCTGTGTGCTCAATATCCTCATTTATAAAATGGCAACAGTAATAGTATACCTATCTTATAGGTTGTATGGCATTTAAATTAATTAATATATGAAAGGACTTGGAGTATTGCTTGACGCATGGTAAGCTCTATCTTTCCCCTTCTCCAGTCTCTATGTTCTGATTTTGGTTTAAGAAAATATGGTCGTTCTGGGTCTGGGGAACTTAGAATAGTACCAGTTACATAGGAAATGCCTGTTGATTGATTGCTAAATGTTAGTCATAGCTGTTCATCACTGTAAATAGCTGTCAGCCCAGACGGTCGTGTCTATTTAATACAATTAAACATCCTTGATTATAATTTATCTTTGTCATAAAAGTGTGAAATCAAACATCAGCAAGTCAAGAGAAAACATTTTCGTTTTTCTCAAAGTATCACAGAAAGATGTTCACTCCACCACCGGCCTTTCACTTTAAAGAAATATCGCCGTGAGTCCCCAGACAAAGCAGGAGTTGCTCCTCATCCAAGATGCCTGGCATACCCACCTGCCCCGGGATTGTGTCCCGCCCCGAATTTTCTCCACGTTGCCCGAAGTTCAGTCAGTTGGAGATACAGTGGGTGAACAGGTACCCCTTAAAAAAAGTCTCCCTACAAAGGACCCTTTGTAGTTCAGGGTGCAGTATTTTATCGGGAAGTCCGATGCAGAGCAACATGCGGATCCTAGGTCCCAGAGGGAGAGTCATTAGGAGGTGGGAAAGTGGAAGATGCCAGAGAGAAACTTCGGTAACGCTTCAGTCGGGCCAGCCGGTCCCCACGGAAGAGGGAGGAGACTTGTGGCCTCACGTCCCTTCCTTCCTTTCTCTTCCCTTTTAGGACCCAGACTGTATCTCTTTCCCTCTTGAACTCCTTGTTCTTCTGTTGCTCCACAGAACCCCAGTCTGAGTCATTTCGATAATTTGGCTTCCCTGGTCCCACCTGGAGGCTGCAGAGTGCTGATGCAGGGACCCTCCTGTTGCCACCTTAGGGACTGGGGTCACTCACTCCCCGTCCAGGACCCCAGGCTCTCCTGAGCCTCAGGGCTGCAGCGCCACCTCTGGGGCACCACGCAGCCTGTCTTGGGCCCCATGTCACCTGTCCATTGCTCTCTTGGCCCACCTGCTTTGCCTCTCCTCACCCACCGTAACAGCAAGTAATCTTGTCTCCTTCAATGAGAAAAGAAAAGCTTCCAGATGGGAGCCTTTTTCAGCTTGTTTGTGAGCCTTGTAAATAATGTCTCCGTACCCTATTTTGAAATAAACTTCCCTGGACACACATTTCCCCACTTCCCTTCGCCACCGGATAGGTAGGGCATTGTCGCCACTGCCCCCAGGCCGCCGTGTGACTCAGCCCCGCGTGCACAGCTCGTGCGGGGGTCACGGACTGCCTCGGTGCGGCCCCGTCCGTCCGGCAAGCCCTTCTCTGCCCGGGGGCCCCCTGACACGCGGGCCGCACGCAAGATGTTGCCTTGCCTTGGTGAAGTTCTCTCCTCCCTCGGGTCTGTGACGTTGCTCCCTCCTGATTCTCTTTTGTACCTTCCGGGCCCTTCTTTCTCAGTTTGTTCGGGTGTTCCTCTTCCTTGGCCGACTGGGTCAGAGCCGGTGGTCCTTTCCCAGGGCTGAGTCTCCTTGGCCTTCTCCCTTCTACACAGTCCTCCCAGGCTTCAGTGGCCACATCTTGATTACTCCGAGGGTTCTCCTGAAAATCTTCCTCCTAAGCTCCAGACTTAGAAATCCAGCAGCCTAATGGGCAGCTCCACCTAAGTATCCTGCCCAGCCGGTTCATGGCATCCTCATTTTCTACAGTCATTTTCATTATTTTTAAAACCATTTTATTGAAAAGCCAAACACAGAAAAGGACACAAACACCTGTGTGTAGCATAATGAGTTACTGGAAGGGTAACATCCTTGTAACAACCACCTACATCAAGACTTGGAACTGTGCCGGGCCGCCTGGGTGGGTCCGTCGTTAAGCGTCTGCTTTCGGCTCGGGTCATGATCCCGGGGTCCTGGGATCGAGCCCTGTGTCAGGCTCCCTAGCTCCGCGGGAAGCCTGCTTCTCCCTCTGCTGCTCCCCCTGCTGTGCTCTCTCTCTCACTGTCAAATAAATGAATAAAATCTTAAAAAAAAAAAAAGATTTGGAACTCTGCCACTCCCCTCTAGAAGCTCTTTCTTGTGCCCAGACCAAGCCCAACCACTCCCTCCAACAGTAACCACTGCCTTGATTTTCACAGGGATCACCTGAATTTCTTCACGGATTTATCACCCAAGCGGTCATCCTCCATATTGTTGTTTAATCCTGTCCATTTTTTTAAAGCTTTAATATATCTCTTAAATCTCCTTTAATCTACAGTTGCCCCTCCCCTCTGGCCCCACCCCATCTCTTTCTCTTTCTTGCAAATTGTCTGTTGACGAATCCAGACCATTTGGCTTACAGAGTTTTCCATACTCTGGGTTTTGCACACTCATGATGCAGTTCTGTTCCTCTGTTTTATTTTCTGCAGATTGGCCTCTGAATCCAGAGGCTGGATCAGACTCACGTTGGATCTTTTTGGCACAACCATAGATGGTGTTGGATTCTTTATCCTGAGGCACATAATGTCTGGGTTTTTTTGATGCACTGAGAATTGTAATACACTAATGTTTTTGTCTTGTTTTCATTTAGTAGCTGAAATAATTGTATTAGCAGAGGCTTCTTCCACACCTCTTTGGTTGCAGTTCATATAGGAAAGGTGGGGTAGAAACTTGACTTTGGTCACTTCCTTGATGGCAGGAATGGCAGGGTAATCCAGCGTCATTCATCTCAAACATGCTTCAGCCAGGCCTCCTGTTGTGTGTTTTTTGTTTCAATAGGTAATGTTATTTCAAGACCACAATATGTGCAGTGGCGTGCTTGCTGCCGCTGAGTTGGTTATTGTTTTTATACTTTTTAACGGACAGAGTTAGGATATATATGTGTGTATGCCTTGTGGGTTCATGGTGATATTTCCAATTCAAATACGGTACTGCACGGTTTTCACTTAACCTCTCGTATGGTATGTCCTAACCTCTTCTGTATGACCCTTTCTTCCACACAAGGAATCCTGATGAGATAGGCTTTCTCCTTCTTTGCACATGTACCCGTCTCAGAGTAACAGTTGGAGGTACCACCATCATCAATTCTGATTACGGAAACAGTTTAAAATGTTGTCTTGCCTGTGGTGTCTCCGTTCTTCCTGTATTTTTATGCTTGGACTCTACCTAGATGGTTGCATTACCATTACATTACATTACTCCCATTCTCTTTGGTCATAAAGCAAAGTCCAATAATAATTTTATTTTCCTTATATGTCCAATGCTGTTTCTGCATAGGTGTCCAAAGGATTTTTTTAAAAATATATATGGTAATTTTATTTGAATGTGTCTTGGTGTTGGTCCTTCTGGGTTAATATCCTTAGCTACTTAGTGTGTTTTCAATATGTACTTTCAAATTAAAAAAGATTAATTTCAAGAAAAATTTTTTGAATATAGTTTTTCTTTTACTTTGGTTTCCTTTTTTTCCTCCAAAACACCTACATACCTGTAATGTTGGTTCTTCTTTGCCTGTCTTTCATATTTGTCACCTTCCCTCAGATCCTTTACATCCTCTTCATTTCTTTTTGACTTTTAAACCTAACTTCCTTTTCAATTTCTATTTCTCTTAAGGTTTTATTTATCATGTTTAAGTATCCCTGTGTTTCTGTTTGCTTAGCCTTCACTGCAAAAATGACTTTTTCCTTTATCTCTAATGTTTTTTGTATGGTTCTTTCATGTCTTAACATTTTCTTAGCATCTTTTAGTTCTTTTTGAAGTAGTTTCTTATAGATTTGATCCTTTAAAAAAAGAATTAAGGATGCCTCTCTGATGTGAATTGTCTGTAGAGATGTCGTTTTTGCTCCTTGTTCTCTTTATGTTCTGGTAGGCTGGTTTGGGATCTCATCTCTGTGCTTTTTCTGCTGCTTATTTTGATACACAATTAGTTTTCCCAAACTTTTGGAAGGAAATTTGGTTCAGATAACTTAAAAAAAAAAAAAGGTGTATTTATTAATTTGAGAGGGGAGAAAGGGGCAGAGGGAGAGGGAGAGAGGGGATCTCAGGCCGACTCCCCACTGAGTGCGGAACCCGGAGGGGATGCGGGGCTCGATCACACGACCCTGAGAAGTGACCTGGGCTGAAACCGAGAGTCGGGTTTCAGCTCTCCCAAGCGCCCCCAGATAACTTTTTTGAACTTCACAGAGCTTCCTCATCTGCTCTGTTTTGTTTTGTTTTAATATATGGTGGCCTGCGTTCAGAGATCCCCTGGCTTTGTTCTCTCTCCCCACTTTTACCTGGACTTGTTCTTCTTGTTATCCTTACGCCGCTCACTTTTGATTCCACCCCCAGCAGTTTGTCTTTCTATGGGGCCCCGGTCTGGAGGGAGCCCCAGCAGGTCAGACTGGTGAATTCACCAGGGCTGGGCTTGCGTGAGCTGCTCCTGGAGCTGAGGTTCTCCTAGTCTCAGGTCCATCAGATGCCCTGTTGCTCTTGCTGATGGAGAGCAGGGCTCATGGCTGGAAGTGATTTGTCCCCACTTAACGTATATTTTGTGATTCGTGGTAATGTTATGTTCCGTAGTTTTGTTATAAATATTCATTAGGTTTTGGTTTTGCTGTTTCTTTGCTCTGTCAGTTTTTTGGGTCTGTTTCTCTCCTTTGCTCCCTCTTGAGTTACCCATGCCAGAAACTAAGAAGTCATTTTCAGCTTTTCCTTTCGTCCACTTCTTCGTCCTTAGTATTTCTCAAATCTGCCCACTTGTCCCATCTTTGTTGCCTCGAGATTAGGCCAGACCAGATTCTCCTAGCTGTTCTGCTGGTGTTGTTACCCAGTCTCAGAGCCTGATTTCTCTGCCTCCAGTCTAGCCGTTTTCCACACTGAGGGTAAGATGCTCTTTCTGAAATGTCTGATCGTGACCCTTCTGGCCTGAACCCTTTCAGTGACGTCCAGTAGCGACAGGATAAGCTGAAACCCCTCTATCGCAAACCACAAGGCCTTTCAGGAGCTGACCCTTCCTCCCCCCTTCAATCTCTTCTCTTCCTCCTGCAATTAATTCTGCATCCTGTCATGAAAAACTGCCTGCAGTAAGTTCCCCAAAGATGCCATGGTGTCTTCCTACTTCTAGAGCTTTCCTGGCCTCACTGTTCTCCTTGCCCTGCCTCATTGCTGGAAAATGAAATTGGGGAATGCCTGTACCATTACTTTTTGAGGAAAAACCCAACAATTTATATTTTTAAAAGAAACATGTAATTTCACCAGAATTTGTTATACAGTGGGTGCTCATTTCCTAATCGTCTTGAAATCTTTTTTTCTTACTTTCAATAGAGAAAAATCCTGAACTGCCATGCCTTGAGTATATTCGACTTCTTTTTTGTTGAATAATGAACTTGAATTATTAAATATAAATATATAATTATAAATGTGAATAAGCATTTAAATAAAGATAATTATTTTTAAATGCCTTTGAAATAAAACAAAATGTATTTGGTTTCATATTAAAATGATTTCCCTGTACAATTTTCAGCTCTATCAAAATCCAAATAGCTGCCTTTATAAGAATAAGGCATCTAATAAAAACCGAGAAACCTTAAGTGAGTCACATCACATCACCCTGCCAAGAAAGCATGACAGGTTCATTATCCAGGCACATCTGGGGTGGAATTACAAATGAGCACTTTGCAGGGAAACCAGTTGGGAACACTTTGGTCTTAATAGAAAAACGATTCTATATAGTATTAATTGGGACTTGGGGTTGTGTGACATGTGTCATGCTCTACGAAGCAGCCCTCCCGGAGCTGCTTGTTTCAGGTTTGCACTGAGGAGGGCAAGACCAGAAGGCAGAGGAAAGACAAAAGCCGCTCCCCATCCACTGCCTTCAGCACCACCTTGTCACCAGTACGTGTGCACGCACGTGCCATTGCACGAAGAACCCGCAGATCCTGCCCGTGTCCTCCGGAGTCACACCCCGGGGGGACCTGTTTGGAAAGCAAGGACAGAGATTTCCATTGTCAAGGGACAGCCAAAATCAATAAGAAAGCTAGAAATGCCCTTGAAAAGGAAGCTTGATCGTTTTTAAGTGGGGAGGGAAATAATTTGAGAAGCATGCGATGAAATATTAACTTGAAGTTAAAAAGAGCTCCACCAGTGCGGTGGATGAAAGAATAATGATCCTGAAGACATGGTACCAGTCGGGGAGAAGGCGGCCTGGAGCATCGATGCGAACAGAAGAGACTTTGGAGGCCTCTGGCGGAATACGCAGAATGGCCAGCACTCCCTTCTTGCCCGGAGTGCTGAGAGTAAGGGGTGAAGTTTCGGAGGCCGCGGCTCTGTGAGGGGTTTGTGCGTGGTCGGGAGGGGTGGCCAGTGCAAAATATGCTTTTAGCTGCAAGTCTGCTTCTCATGGTGCTGCTTTCATCCTTAGGAGTATGAGACCCAGTCAAGTGCAGAAGCCAGGTTTGTGAAGCAGCTGGACCAGTGTGAGATGATTCTTCAGGCCTCCGAGTATGAGAACCTGGAGAGCAAACCTGGGAGGCTGCAGGACTTCTATGATTCCACAGCAGGTACTCCGTGCTGTCCTCAGCAAACACCGTTTTAGTTGGGCTTACTCCTAGCGTCGTGAGTGGCGTCGCGTGAGTGGGATCCGCTGTCGGTTACCTTCTAATGGCACTTCCTTCCACAGGGAAGTGGTGGGCTTCCTGGTGGGGGGCAGCCTGGCGCGTGAGAGCACTGTTGCCCTTTGCTCTGAGCGGCAAGCCAGGTTCACAGTCACATCTGGCTCTGTGCCCCGGGCAGTGCCTGTCCTGGCCTCTCTCTGCCCTCCCTGAGAAACCGAAAGCATAAAGTTTACCCTCCTTGAGTCAGAGGTGGGTTTTGAGATTCAAAAGAGAGAATGTCTGTGAAAGTGCATTATAATCTGGAAGTGCTCTATAGAAGTAAAGTCATAGAAGATGGAGGTAGAAAAAGAGATGTTGAAAGTAGAAAACCCC